TTAAGACTGCAGTGGATTACCCATCAGAGACTCTCGACGATGACCGTAAGGCGTCGCCTCAGAGTGGCTGGTTATAACGCCAGAAGACCAGTAAAACGTCCTCAACTGACTGAGAGGCACATGCGGAATCTTCTGATATGGTGTCGTGCCCGTAGTCGATGGAACTTGGCCAACTGGAGAAGGATCAATTGGTCTGATGAGTGTCGAATGCTACTAAGAACTGTTGATGATCGAATACCTGTTTGGAGGCAACGTAACACGCTTTTTGCACAAAGGAACATCCAGAAGACCTTAGCATGTGGCAGGGGGTCTTTCATGATATGGGGTTGTGTTTCCTTCGGCTGCAAACTTCCGCTGGTGACAATTCGTGGAAACCTGAATGGCCAACAATCCCTCATTTTGACAACCATCCTTTTCAGACAAGACCTGTTTACATGGACGACAATGCTAGAGACCACACAGATCTCGGGCAGTTTTGGCTTATTTGAGTCAAGAAGCTATTGCCACTCTTCCTTGGCCGGCCTGTAGTCCGGATCTTAATCCGATTGAGCATCTCTGGGACATTGTTGGCCGGAAAATCAGACATCATGATCCCCCAGTTCAAAATCTCGCTGGACTTGAAGCCGCACTTCATGAAGAATGGATCCGTTTGCCTCAGAGAAGCATTCAACGACTTGTTATGAGTATGAGGCGCAGGGTTGAAGCTGTGGTCAATGTCCGTGGATCATACACACGTTGCTGACGTGTCTGTCTTGCAATAGACTCTGCACTCCCTAGGGTGTCTATGTGACACCTGATTTGGTCTGCTGATATCATGACAGTTACATGACAAAAAAGTTTTTCAATGTTTTCTAATCCTTCAATTTCTGGTCTTCGGTAAAATTCCATTCTGCTCATATTCTTTTGGAACACAAGATAAACTTGCTTTGGGACAACTTTTGCATCACATGAAGTTTACATATTCGGCTTATAACAATTGTACATCTCGTTATAATAGTCAACATTAAGTGCCAAAAGTAACAGCTCTCGAATATGGTGGGTGGCGCTTAACTTTTGTGCATGTGTATACATTACCAATATAAAATGTAGCTATTTACACAACATATTCTTCAGCTATTTTGTCAAGTTCAGCAGAAAATCATTGTATTGGGTCAGGAACGTCAGTAAAGTGATCAGGTTTTAGTTTTGCTGTACAGAGAAGGTCATATAAAGGCCAGTTAGCTTTGGTCAAGTTCCATCGAGATGACAGGGGAACATCAGATGGGGTAATAGGGTTTAGACTGGTTGGAAAGGGGTCACTTCCACTGAGGTCATCATGGACTGACCACTCAAATTCATTTAGCAGGTTGGAATCTGTAACAGACAAATCCAGAGAAGTGTATGTGCCTGTACCAGGATGTGAATATGTTTTTGAATTATCATTAAAATGGCACAGAGTATTGTTGGAAATAAAATCTTCTTGGAGCTTGCTTTTACCATTGGTATGATCACTACCCCAAAGTGGATTATGTCTGTTCATATCCCCCATTATAATACAGGGCTTAGGAAGCTGGTCACAGAGAGCTTGAACTGCGATAGCTTGAAGAGTGAGTGAGTGAGTGAGTGAGTGAGTGAGGTTTTACCCCGCTTTTAGCAATATTCCAGCAATGTCACGGCGGGGGACACCAGAAATGGGCTTCACACATTGTACCCATGTCGGGAATCGAACCCGGGCCTTCGGCGTGACGAGCGAACGCTTTAACCACTAGGCTACCCGACCGCCCCTGCGATAGCTTGAAGAGGGGTACTGGAACAGGGCTATGAACAAGACCTTGCCTCACCAGGATTGAAGAGCTTCCAGCTGCTTTAGCACCTGGAGGTGAAAAGAAATGATAAGAATCGTATTGTCTGATGTTTAGTTGATCTGGGATTTTAAAGTAAGTTTCCTGCAAACAAAAAGCTGATGGCTTCAAATCTTGTATTAATAGCTGTAAATCATTAAACTTGTTCTTTAAGCCTCTGCAATTCCACCGTATAATAGGGTAAGAACTGGTCATGGTCTACTGGGGATCTTGACCAGGAGGGAGGTCTACTCCCATGGCCTGTTTGAGATGGAGTGACCTCAATCGCCAAAGGTTAAACCTGATTTTGAACCTTCACAGTCGTGGACTGAGAAGAAGGCACCTCCAGGTGATATAGGTCCCTGGCAGTTTTTTTTCAGTTTCTTTTTCTCCTTATTCGTCAAATGTAAGTCTTGAAGTGTTGATGTTTCTGGATCCAATGTTTCATTTGAAAGTTGTGGTGATTGTAAAGCCTAAGTCTGTGAAGCTGATGTTGCTTTTAAGGTTTGTTGATTTGTTGTTTAACTTCACACTCAGCAATATGTTTGATGTTTGAGGTGTGATATCTAGTATGATCTGCTGATCACTAACCAAAGAGATGTTTGTTTGGCATCCGGTAGATGCTGAAGCAACTTTGACAACCGGAGTGGAAGTTACTGCTGCTGAGTAGGATTAAGTAGAAGTACTTTGGGGATTGAGACCTTTTAGAGACTACTTTTTTAGCTTCATGAAACAAGACATTGTTAGTGTGTTTTATTTTTAGAATCTTTTTAGAATCTGTGTGCTGAGACAGCAACCTCCACATTTGCAAATTTGTTGAGTGATAATATGTTTAGAGAGTATGGAACCATTATGGAGGTGGTAGACATTCTTGACCTCACCACAACAGCCATTGATGGCCTTCGAAATGGCAAACGGGTTTAATTTTATGGGTTGATGATCTGATGCCTCAATGACAACAAATCGAGCACAGGAATCCAATTTGATAACAATTTCTTCATCTGATGAGCTATCATCGTGTTTTCTCTTTGAACCAGAGTGCTTGTGAGACATAGTGAAAGACAGTGGTTCTGCACCCCTGCTCCCAACCCACCACCGAGTGTTAACAAGGACAGTCTTATTGCATTGGATATCCAAAATGCAAAACACCAGGGCTACAGTGGTGTTATACTCCAGCAAATGACATGAATAGCCATATTTGTCCACTAAATGTACTGCAAACCTGGTTCTGCCCATCACAATCATTTAGAGACATACAGAATTCAGCGGTCAGCATTACCAAATTTTTTAGATTTTCAAAAGTTGGTTTATCTTATTACATCATCAAAAAATTGTTTCTAATGATATATCTAATGACAGTTTTCCATGCAAGGGGCATGGCGTGACCAGACGATTGATAGAATCCCTTCAATTCTACCACCCGTCTAAGCAAAGTCAGGGTCAAAGTGGTGTATTGGGCAAAAGGAACACTGGTTCCTGGCTCCAATGCCCTCAACCACCAGAATCCCATCCTCCGCCGACACGGGCAAAACCCACGGCAAACGGGTTACCAAATTTGCTCACCTTTTACGACCAGCAATGGGGTGCTGAGGATACATTCTTGTTTATCTTCCCCGGGTCCCCATGGGGACCGATTAGATGGACAAATGGTGGAAATTTCACAGAACCCTCACCATGAGGCGCTGACGTCCATTGTATGAAAGTGAATTGCGTCTCCAGCGACCACTCTGATCTGTGTGTGCTGTGTCCACCACCTTCAAAGCATGGATGGGGAAATCATCCTTCCTCAACTGAGGAACCTTGAACGATGATAGAGATAATATCGCATCTGGTCCAGCGGAATGGGGGTAAGCTTTGACCAATAGTGTCTTGTTTATCTACACGGGGGCTGGCAACAGCTGGAACATGGACTGCATCATCTGCAACCAGGAGGGATCCATATAGGGAGCCTGGAGGAGCTGTTGAGGCTGGAAGCTCAGGATCCAAATCCCGTATGAACCAAGAGCGTTGAGAAGGCCAATCTCTGGGTCGTTGGTGCCAAGAGTGGCACCAGCAAGGGGCCAGTCATAGAATCACGGAGCGCAAGTGGCACTGTAACTACTAAGGTGCGAAGGTCCGAATCCCAGAGGCGCCGAGGGTATGGTGGTATGCTTGCGGGAGAGCTAATATCTGGGTCCTTGGGGTTGTCATAGTTGGATGGATGGATGGATGGATGGTTTGTTGTTTAACGCCGCACTCAGCAATATTCCAGCTATATGATGGCGGTCTGTAAATAATTGAGTCTGGACCTGACAATCCAGTGATTAATATCATGAGCATCGATCCACGTAATTGGGATTGATGACATGTATCAACTAAGTCAGCAAGCCTGACCACCCAATCCTGTTAGTCGCCTTTTATGACAAGTATAGGTTGCTGAAGACCTTTTCTACCCCGGCGTCTTCACTGGCCAGGTGGTCATAGACATGAAGTTTGGTGTAGTCATCAGTGTGGTCATCGGCATCTGGAGTAGTTGTTTCTGTACAGGTGAGGTGTTTGCCTGTCAACGCTGATAGGAGAGACGTATGTGAGGCCGATCTTAGAGGTGTAGACGCTGGTAGTGGGTCCCAGCCGGGAAAAAAAGCCATGGCTAATGGAGAGGAGTAAGATATTTTCTTTTTATCTTGTCTAGAAGCTTGCTGTGAACCGCGCATGTTCCAACTACAGATTTACACATGGTAACTATGTAGAGGGCCCCAATTAAATGTACATCTTGACTACAATACCACCAGTTGCAGCCCCAGTAGTACATGAAACTGAGTCAAATATCACAATACAGCAAAACATAACATGTTTTTGGGCACAGCATATACTTGCTGAATATTACTCTTCATAATTTGTACCTGCCTGATATTTCTTTGTAGTTTTTTTTCTTCTAGACTGTAGAAGTGATGCTCAGCTTCTAAAAGCATGTGTTAAAGACCACATTGACAGAAGGGGCCTGTAGTTCAGGTGCTGAAATCCATACACAACTTTCATAGGGTCTCATTTCAAGAACTGTTTCCACTTTATAAATTGAAAAACTAAAACACAGCAAAAGATTTCATAAAAAAATCAAGTATCTTCGTATAGGGTTTAAACCAACATTCAAAAGCTCTGCTGTCAGCCGCTTATAAATAATAAAAACATGACAACACCAAGGAAGTTCTGTTCAGCATTTATTTTTTTTGTACAAAAGTAGGAAAACAAACTGTTATTTTTTCTTTTTAAGAAACAATCATTACTATTCAATATAAAAAAAAGTTAACATGGAACACTTCTTTGAAAATGAAGCCAGATAAATTATGCAAAATACACATATATACATGAATGTTGACAATGTCATACCTTGAACACAAACTCTACACAGAACCAATATAGGTATTTTCCGAACACTTATTCATCATTTCTCAAGTGGACATGTCCTGGAGAGATATGCTGACATCAAATCTTGGAATTCCTGAGATATTATCTATGATTGAAGTATGAGGTAACATGAACATAAATATTTCTCTGCATACATGACACTGGATGTTCTCCACAACCCTTCATGAGTATGTTCAAGAGGATGTTTTGGGGGGGTATTTCCACTATTATTAACATCAACAATACTGTGTGTAACTATCAGCACTTACCTACAAAACACAACTATAATTTTTCATTTGGCACATACAAAAACACAAAGTATAGGCTACAAATCAATAGTTTAAAAAGATATATCAACAACATAGAATTAATGGAATATTGATAACTTACACTGGTTTCATTATACAAAGACCCTTGTCATCTTACACATTACATTGTGAGAACTTTTGAAAATGAACTTTAATTCAGTATGTCTAAAATCAATTTCCAGAACTCTCATTTGGAAAACAATACAAGACATGCCTTTGATGAAAGGCAATATATTATGATACATGATCTAATAGTGGAAGACTATCATTTGTAACTGTGAGTGAGTTGGGTTTATCACCGCTCTTATCAGTATTCCAGTGGCATGTCAGCTTAATGTGGGAGGAAAGCCCGAAGTGATGCAGGTCTCAGACATTTACCACTTTGGTAAAACCCACGAGCATGGGTATGGTGTTGACAAACCAAGAAACATAATCGGGGCAAACCAGGATTCGAACCCACAATCATAGGTTTCTGGGGTGCCCAGGGGACGCAACTCTGCACAGCGAATCGCGGTGCCTTAGACGACTGGGCTACCCATGCCCCCCTCATTTGTAACCGGACAACTTAAATGCGATGTAGAGGAAATCATGAGATATAAGCAAACAATTGCACAACATTGGTCACATCTGTAATCTACATCTGAATGATGAGGACTTCATGTGTTTCTACACACTCTATAGGTTTACCATGTTTACTTCAGCATTTACTAACTATACTTTCCCTTATTTACAATACCATCCACAAAAGGAGCAACTATTTGATATTGTGGCAGGAGTCTTGTTTAAAAGAAAGTTAGTTGGCCAACTTCCCCTTTCACGGGAAAGCAGTGAAGCAATGTCCCCAAACTTTCCATATCTAAGAAAGATCACAGGACCCCACCAGATCAAACATGCTCAATCCCTAAACAGGTTGCTAGTTTAGGATAATTAAAGAGCTTGTTATGAGTATCAAAAACAAATCTCATCAGAACTAATTGCAAACAAGATAAAGGAAGTGATCTCCATGTGGATATTGCATATAATTGGTATAATCAATACGTATAAACTTTGTCTTTTTGAGCATCAGCACATTTGATAGTGGCACGTCTGTCATACTTGCTCTGAAACATAAGTGAAATATAACATTAATATCCATGAGCAGCATAAACAAAAAAATATTTTAAAAAATCGCTTCTTAAGACCAGTTTTATTGCAATATTGATCTTGATTATCTTGACTGGGTGCCGCCATTTTGTTTGAAACAAATGCAAGTGATATGGGAAGTGGAATTTGATTGGTCCATAGGAGAGCCTTAGAAGGGGCATAATAATCACTGGTGGCGCTACGACCGAGCCCAGGAATTCCAGCCTAATTCAGCAAGGGTGGAAACTGGACTTTAAAAGTCAGTTAACTCTCTTGCCTTTGGAAGATGGTACACCATCAACAAGCTCCCAAACCTCAACTTGCTCTCTCATACAGGTAAACAAATCAACATAAACATAATGTGTAATTTTGATTAGTATAACTAAGAAGAGAATGACTACGGTGGTCGATCTCCAAAGACTTGCCTGCAACCATTGCTTTCTTATGTTTTACAAGGAATGTAATAACATATTGGTTTCATGCTTAATGCAATACACACACTAAAGTTAAGCACCCCCAGACATAATGAATCATAACATGTCACCTTACTTTCAACTGTAATGATTATTATAACAAGGATGGTGTTCCATTGTAAGGATGTGACCCTTCAATGTGTGTTAGTGACGTCAGAACTCACCATGGCATGAACCTCATTTCTCTAAAATACTGTATGATCAGGCATCAGATTTGAGTATTCAAATCTCCTGTCTTGCAATGATTAATCATTCCCTGTGGACATGGCATGGAGGAGGATATCTGAGGTACCAGGATGGTAAACAATCAGAATGCATTCATCATGGTGGTCCTGCGAAGCTATTGGCAGTCAACTGGGCAGTATTCAGAGATCGGTGAGAAAACATGGTCAAACCAATGCTGACAAGAACCTTCCATGATCAGGACAACCTCCTGTGACATCACAGAGTGTACAGTGCACTGCTTCGATTAGTATGACAACATCCATTTGGCAAAGAGTCCTGAAGTGACAATGTGCCCAACTGACGTCTGTCCATCAGAACCACTTGGGAAGAGCAGGAATGACATCCAGGAGAGTCATCTAACACACCCTCCTGGAATATAACCATCAGAGGTTCCATTTAGCATGGTGTTTATCATTCTTGGACTTTAAGAAAGTAGCGGAAAATCCACTGGATGGATGAAAGCAGCATCCTGCACGTCACGGATGGACAACAAAAGGTTTCGAGGCACAAGAATATGACCCATGCACTCAAGAACATCAGGCCAACTGTACCTTTTGGGGGTGGCTCAGTAAAGATGGGGTGTATCTCACACAATTCGAAGCAGGACTTAGTCACCACACAAGGCAACCTCACAGGTAGTCAGTACATCCTATATGTAGTGGAACCAGTTCTTGTTCCCCATTTTGACACCCACCCACTCATCACAAGACCTCAATTCATGGAAGATAATGCCACACTCCTTCATGAGGCGAGATCTGAATCAACTGGAGTAAGCTTGGGACATCTTTGGCCGCCGTACACAGGCACAGGCGCATCCTGTACAGAATCTGCATGAAATTGAAGCAGCTTTCCTTTGGGAGTGGCCACAGTTACCCCTTCAGCAGATAGAAGATCAGACATGGGACTGGAGGGATGAGACATCATGGAGGCCATCATGAAGGCAGTAAGTTTTTATCCAGAAATATACATCCAAAATTGTCATCTGAATTCTGCAGCTCCATACGCAAAAGAGGTATTTTTGGGGTGAAAACATCACCAGTGATTGTGCTACAATGTCATGATATAAAATCTTCGTACAATGACGAGCAAAACAACTGAGTCACCAAGCCAGACCACACCATCCATTTATTTGCCTCTTACCACAAGCACTGGATGCTTGAGACTGATTGAAGAAGTCAGCTGAATATAGCCAGAATAAATTCAGTTTCTCTAGTAGATGGAAAATAATACCAAAGAGAAAATATCAAATTTAGTTGGATCTCAGAATAAGCACACCATAAGAAAGAATGTTTTTATGCCACTTTTAGCAATAACCCAGCAATTAATCACAGCAGGGGACACCAGAAAAGGGCTTCACACATTGTACACATGTGGAGAATTGAACCCACCCCAATTAAATAATAGGGATTTGCAATATAACTGATATCAAATGACATCATAGTCATGGTCCACATACAGTTAATGTGCTCATATCTTTAGATGTATATCAACATCACCTATGTTTTTCTTTTTAAGAGGCCATTTCCAGCAAGTACTATGAACTACCTTATTCATCCATTTCTTACCGTTACGCACTTCATGTTGCATCGGCTTCATCATCCACCACTCTGTATGTTCCAATGAGTTTCTCCAAGAAATCTGTAGATGACAGGACACATAAATTTAGCTACTAATGTTCATCCGCCCCAAAAGTACCTCAACTTGATTGCCCATACAAACTAAGTGACCAAAAGACTAACACTCACCCTTGTGATGATCCCTTTCCTTAGCAAGTGCTACGTTTTCCTCTTGCTTGGCCTGTAGGTCCCTTTTCAGCTGAGACAGAACATCTTCAACAAAAAATATGAAAATGAAGTTTGGTATTCACCTGTCAAGAATTAATTCATGAACAACACATGGACAGATCCACTAGAAACATGAAGTTTGGTACTTTGGTCTGTTTCTTGAACTGTTATTAAACTGACAGGATAATACTGTCATTCAATATCATGATCCCTCACTATTATATTTTTGGGACAACCATTTTATCACAAGAACATATTTAATTACATTTATGTTCTTATAAAAACGGACAACAGTGTAGGCAACATCCAGATGAACTAGTTAAAATCATCATCATACCTTCAAGCTCTTCATATTTCTGTTCCAAAGAAAGGTTATTTTCCTTTGAAACACTTAGCTCAGATTTTAGACTAGTCACATTTCCTGAAAAAAATCATATTGAAAAAAGAGAGTTATATTTAATAATGAGATAAGTTGTAGTTAATTTGTGACAAGTATTACGTGAATTTGCATATTATGATCCCAAACATATTTTGTACCTTTGTAAATTATTAGTTCTTGGGTTGAGGTGATGTGGTGAAATGGCGTTTAACTTCATGTTCAAGATTATTCGACTTATATAAAGTCACATGTTTACGCGCATAGTGCTAGCCCACTGAGATACCATGTCCCAGTATACAGACTCAAGAGCCGACTAGCCCTTGTTTTAGCCCCTTAACGGCAAGCTCCAGGCAAGGTAACAACAAGTACAATCTTTTAACATCTTTTGGTATAATGCAGAAAGGGACCGAAAAATCGACCTTGTGCTCTCCAAACAGACACTCTAACCACTAAGCTACGGAGGCTGGTCTTTTTGGGATTGGAAAAGTCGGAAATTTTAAGTATTACAACAAAATATTATTATTTAAATATACATGTGACTGTTCAAAATGACAAATACGAAACCTGAAAGTAACCTAAATCAGCTCAATCTGAATAAGAAAACAACAACTTTGTAATCCCATTTCATGCAAAAATGGCAGTAAAGAATGAGTGTCTTGGGCCAATCCATGTTATCCAATGGCAGCAAGTAATGTAAAAGTCACATGATGGAGTGTATACGTACCTTCATGTTTCCTACATTTTTCTTCCAGGTCAGTCTTCCTTATTTTAGCCTCAAGTACCTCCGTCTTGACACATGCCAAGTCAGCTGAAAGTGAGGATAAATATACCAATTTAATAAACCTTTCTGCAGCAGCTTCCTCGAAAACATTCACTAAGAGAACAAACATTGTTCATTGTGCTAGGGCCATCAGAACAAAACAGATTTGAATGTTGGCATATAATTATTGACAAGGGAACTGTTCCAAATTATAACAAATGCTAACCTGCCATCTCCTTGTGTTGTTCTTTCAGAGTCACAAATGCCTGTAGGATGTACTCTCGAGATTCATTGAAGATGTCATCTGGAAAACATATATTTCATTATTATCATAATCAAATTCCTTTCACAAGATACAAAATTAGTGGGAACATGTTAATGCTAGTGACAAGATAATTAGAGCATCTATCAATATCTTATACAAACAACCAATCTGCAACACATTGGATTCTCACCAAGGTGTCCTTTCTTGGAAACTGGCTCCTCCTTGGTACCGCCATCATCTTCCAGCTTTCGCTTCAGTCCACTAGTCTTTGATAAACAGGCATCAGACATTCCCTGGGTGCCTAGAAGGAGACAAGAAAATTGTGGCTTCAAGTCCTATTCTGATAATTTGTCTCAAGTCAGTCACGCCATGATAATAATACATGAACAAAGATGCCAACCCTAATTGAAGCTTTGGAGTAATCAGTGGGGTAAAAAAAGCGTAATTTCATGTGAAAAAGAGTAATGTCAAGAGTACCATGACATGATGCTGGTTTTCGCTTCAACATTTTCGTTAGGCCAATAAGTGAAGCATGGGTACACATGCATTGATGCTCGTAATGTAGCCACACACTATATTAAAAACAGGGTGATATAGCTCAAAATAAGCAGATAAAATGAGTCCACTTGCGTTTATATGGTTAAAAGTGACTAAACTTCGAAACAGAATGAACCTCGAAAAAAATGGACATGAACATCGAAAAAGTACTCAAAAATAGAGGTGAGGTGAGGTGAAATGGGGTTTCAGGTCGTGTCCAAGATTACTGCACTTATATCATGTATATAGCGACATGCATGTACGTGTGTGTGTTTGTGTGGCTGCTTGTACTAGTCCGGACTGATGCCGATTCATAGTGCTAGCTCACTGAGATACCATGCCCCAGTTTAACACGAATAGCCCACTCAGACACAGTATACTGACTCCACGTAGACCAGTCCTTGTTTTAGCCCCTTAATGCCGAGCGCCAGACAGGGTAACCATCTTTTAACGTCTTTTGGTATGATGCGGCCGGGGATCGAACCCCGGACCTTCCGCTCTCCGGGCGGGCGCTCTACCACTAGACCACGGAGGGGGTCCTCAAAAATAGAAGTTCCATGAGGGCATGTGACATACATCGGGGCCACATTTCAAACAAACACATATTTTGAATAACTTTGGTAATTAAAGATAAAAAAAAAAATCACTTACGAAAGCATTTTATTCAAGCTGTTGTGTAGGGGCAAGTCACCCATACCCCCTTTTATTTTAGCTGGGCGAAAGAATATGGCGTCGGAAACGCATTCATAAAATTCATCAAGTGACAATACTAACTGTATTGCAGAAAGACAAAGCAGTGTTTCGAGTTCTTAAGAAAAATCGGTGTACATGCAATTAGCTCCCTGTAGCATGCTTCACATGATTGGTGCATTAACAATTTGCTCTCCATGATATTTTATACATGAAAATAATTCATTGACAAAAATGTCAAAAATTGTTATGTCAAAAGTGAGTGAGTGAGTGAGTATGGTTTTACGCCGCTTTTAGCAATATTCCAGCAATATCACGGCCGGGGACTCCAGAAATGGGCTTCACACATTGTAACCATGTGGGGAATCAAACCCGGGTCTTCGGCATGATGAGCTAACGCTTTAACCACTAGGCTACCCGACCGCCCCGTAATGTCAAAAGAATAATGGTTGGCATCTCTGCATGAACCACTTCCTGAAATGACAAATTCAATGCTGGTTCAACATTTGTGATAAGATGTTGTCAATTTGAATCACTGAAAAATCAAATTCTACTTCATTTGCCATTTGCAATAATTCCTATCAAACATGATAAGCCTGTGTCTTCTTTTTCTTTGAGAGACAGAGAAATAACATTGTATGTGCATGTTTTAAGACGATATTTCTTCCCAAATCCTGCTTGTCTAATGCTGCTTATTAGTTATTGGGTGACTTGAATAATACCTACCTGACTTTTCATTGTCTCGGCTGCTAGTGTTTTCATGGTGATGTAATACCTTGCCAGCTGCATCATGTTTCCCTTCAAGTGAACAGTGTGAGAGTATTTTCTTCTTTGAAGGGGGTGGGCAGTTACTGTCATCATGGCTGTCGGACTCTAATGCCAGTAATGGCTGCAGACTTTTGCGTTTAAAGCCATTCTTAATAAGCTTTAGTTTGGGATAAGGCTCCCCAAAGTAAGCGAAGATTTTCCGCACATATTTCTCCTTGATAAGGAAACAATCCCCTGGGATAACAGGGGGTAGCTTTGGCTCTAACCGAGACAGGTAATGAGCATTGTCCATGGTGCATTCTGCTACATGCATATCCTTATGAATTACAACCTTCACAACTTCTTCTTTAGAGAAAAGTTGAAATATATCCTGATAAACATAGCATTTTTCTCCATTAACCACAATGTAGCGCAGTGTTCTGTCTGGCATCTTGTCTTTCTGAATGATAGCAAAGCCTCCTCTTATCACCTCACAGTCCTTATCATCTGTTCCCTCCTCACTGACTGCCGAGGAATGGTTCCGCACTGGCTTTCCGTCACAGTAAATATCTGTGGCATCACTCACATCAGAGGCTGCACCCTCATCTTCCTGTTCAGCTGACTGTGCTATGTGGGCAAATTCATCATTGCCAGATGCATCATCTGAATCAAGAGACTGACTGGAGACCTTATTCAACTGAACATCACCTGGACCATCACCTTCTAAGGATTGAGATGGGGACGTCAGGCCAGTCAAGGCTTTTGACTGCTGATTTGATTGTACAGTACTATCTGGAGAGACTGAGCGTTCCTTTTGCACAAAGTCATGTTCCTCTCTTGTAGCTATTGCACACACTGGTGGGTTTGAGCTGACACAGTTTTCTTCAGCACACAACTTTATCTTGAGCATGTGATGATACAACTTTTGAGCGTTTACCAACAACACCACTCCCATCTGACTTGAAAATTTTATTTGTTTATAGCGGAGATATTTCTCAACTTCTCTCCGACAACTATGTGTCAATGTTTTGTGATTAATTTTGAGTGTACAGGTTTTGGTCTTGTAAACATGAGAAGTGTCATAAGCAGACAAGCAACATTTGACAAATTCCTTCATGATGAGATGTTTTCCATCGGGCAAGTTTATCATTAACAACTTCTGTCCATGAAACCAAATGAATTCACCATTAGAGGGCAAATAGGCATTGTCTTCAGTGTAAACATCCACTTCTTCTAAGCTGGTATTAGCATCCACATCTAAGGTTGGTGTTGATCCATCCCATGTTAAGGATCTCTTATTTTTATTACCTCCACATTTTGAACCATTTTTATCAGGACATGACTGCCTCCGAACATGACCAATATTGTGTGGCCTCCCAGTATCATGCTTCCCTTTCTGATTCACTGACCATTTAGAATATACTTTCTCACGAGCACTGACGGTAGGAGATACTTGATGAGATTGACTTTCACTTCTATGATTACCTGTTTCTTTCACAGACTTGTCATGACTTGATCTATGGCTATTTCTGTCTTTAGTTGTTTCTGCTCTATCCCCTATACAGACATGCTGTTCTTTCATGGAGCTGTTTTTTTCTGCATTGCACTTTTTGTTTTTTTCATGATGTTTGTGACTCTTGTCTCTGCTATCCGAGAGGGACTGCTTGGATTTCTCTTCATTCAACTGTAAACTGCTTGATGATACTTCTGTTGACTTTTGACGCTTCTTCTCTGCATCATGAGGACTGGACAACTCCTTGCCCTCAGAGACAGTGTCAGATGCTCCACTTGCTTTGGATTTGGCAGTTTTCCGAGCTGAAAGGTTGTCAAGAACAGAAAATAAAGGTTCCGTGTCAAGACTTGCTTTGTATACTTCTAGTTTCTTCTTGAAAGTTGAGCCTGCAGTTTTGCTTGACCCCTCACTATGTCTTCTTGACTCAATGGTTTTGCTCTTTGAACATGCTGTATCTTCTGCAGGTGTATCAACATCTGCATCTGTGCTGGAATTGGACTTTTTAAGAGGAGAAATCCTGCTTTCTCTCTTCTTATGTTTTATCACAGGCAGAGGTGGATCATATATTCCTAGACTTCTTGAAACTGTTTGATTTTCAGAATGTGTTTTTTTCATGGAAGAATTCTCCAAATGTTTGACTGAGTGTTCGTGGGACACAGAAACACTGGATGTTTCAGTGACATCCATGTCATCTGTAATAATTAGAGTGTCCGATTGGGGCTGTATATCACCCAATTCCTTATGAACAGAACTGTTACTCTGGTTCTGATTCTCAACACATGGCACTGTTTCATTTTCAACCATCTGTTCACCTAATGCTGTGTTTTCTTTAGATGGTTTAGAAGTCAATGTATCCAACAAATCACTGCTCTTACTACCAGATAGCCACCTATCTACTGAATCAGACACATCAGCAGTGAAAGGGCTGAGCACATTCATATCAAAGCTTCTTAATTGTTTTGAAAGAGACAACGCTTGTATTGATGATTCACTTTTTCTGGATGATTGATCTTCAACCAACACAGGCATTGAAATGATATCTGAATGTGTCTCAGCAGCTTTTGTAAGTTGTTGAGCACAGGGTGTGGATTCTTCTACAGGAGGAGCAACTGGTGTGGATTCTTCTACAGGAGGAGCAACTGGTGCTGGAACTGGTGCTACAACTGGTACCACAACTGGTACCACGACAGGTTCCTTGGCTGTAGATTCAAGGTGACTCACATTACAGTTTGGATCCACAGTCGGCGCTGGTGGACTTTTAGCCATGCAAATTAACTGTCTTAAATGCTCCTTTGAATCAGGCAACACAGATGTTTCTTTCATGGATCTTGATAAAGAATTATTTGGACGTATCTGATCTGTTGCAGGTGCTTGCACAGACTGCTGGGGAGCTGTGTCTGAACAATTGGAGTCTCTGGTGTTCACGAGGCTTCTTGAATTACATATCGTCTGGAGTTGCGACAAAGCTTCATCAAAAAAAGATGCATCTTCAGGGCCAGATTGAACATTTGACTGCTGAGACATTGTTTGTGGAAATGAAATACTAGATCTACTGTCACTGTTTACAGACCCTGCATGCATGGTTGGCTGACTTATTTGTTGTTGAGAGTAAATCCACTCCTTTTGTACTCTTGTGGTTTCTTGATGAGAATCAAGAGATGTTGCATGAGAACTGTATGTACTAACTGTTCCATAAGAGCCTGGTACAGTGAAAGGAACAGATTGGCTACTTGCCTGTACAACCATACCAATAGGCTCTTGATGTCTCTGTTGAGGACTCACTCTTTCAGCAGGCTGTTTGACAACTCGTCCAGATTCATACCTCTCAGCAGGCATCTTATACCACCTTGACTGGCTGGACATCACTGTTGAGACACTCTGTGGAATGACTGACCTAGAATTATCACTACCTCTTTGGTAAAAGTTAGCATGGTTAGTCTGTGTGCTCCCTTGGGCTGGATATGGGGGTGGAGGCTTTACATAACTGGTGGGTGTGAAAGTACTGTTCCCTCTCGCAGACATTCCATTAATCTGAAATTGTTGGATGTTTCCTCTGTTTGGGTGATTTTCAAAGCCACCAGTGCACTGCTGATTAACCTGTAACATGCCAAGGTCGGCAGACAGCTGTTGAGGTTGTCCTGTGACGTGAGCATTGGCATTGTCTTGAACTCCTGGCATTTGTTGTATATCAATGCCTGTCACATGTTTCACTATGTTAAAAAAATATGGCTGAAAGAAATTTGTCAAAAACAAATCACCATTTATACAATCCAACAATTGCTGATTTGTGCAAAGCCTTGCCAAGAATGCTTGAACTTTCCTTCGAAAGCAAAACTGATCTTCTCTTGCTAAATGTTGAATATCATAGTTCTGCATCCGTTGTTCGTCTTTTGCAGCATCAAGCAGCTTGCCAAATTCAACACAAGCTTGTCTACTAATTTTACAATGCTGCCACCATGGACTGGCCTGAGGATTGCTATACTGTGTATTTGGAGGCCTGCATGGCACAGTTTTGTCAACGGAGGTTTGGCGGGGGGCATAGTTCATCTGATTGCCCATGCTCAATGAATTTGCAGGGAGAGAATTTACAAGATTTGAAAGGACGGGTATTCCATGGTTAGAAGCTGGGTACATGTTGCTTGATGATGAAGACGGTGGCCACCCAGTTTGTCTTGAACTCATCCCTCCGGACTGCATGTACTGGTGGTTTCCAATGTTTTCTGCCATGATCTTTCCTGTTGACAAAACAGAAAAGCATGAGAACAAAGGAAGTCATGCAGGACTAAGCTTCTGTTGGTAGAATTGTGTACTGTGTAATTGCAGACTTTGCAACACACTGCATCAATGAGGAGGAATAAGGCTACACATGTTCCTGCAATGAATGCAGGTTTTTTGTTTAATGCCGCACCCAGCAACATTTAAGCTATATGACACTGGCCTGTAAATAATCAAGTCAGGGCCTGACAATCCAGTGATTAATATCATAGTGAGTGAGTTAAAGTTTAACGTCACAGCGGCAATATTTCAGCCATATCAGATTAATATCATAAGCATTGATCCACACAATTGGGATACAATGACATGCATCAGCTAAGTCAGCAAACCTGACTACACAGATCCTGTTAGTCGCTTCTTACTGCAGGCATGGGTTGCTGAATACCTATTCTAACCCTGCAATGAATAAATACTATTACTATTGATTAAGCCACAAAAATAAACGTGCCAGTGTTTCAGGCAACATTGACTCGGCATACATATGTAGATAAGTGGGGTGTTTTTTTATTAAATATTTGTTCTAATAATGTATAATTCAGACGGCTTGTATAGAACTGATGTTGGTTGCAAAGTCTGTTAGTCAAAAAGCTATGGCAACGATAATACGCAAAAACATCATAACAAATTCAAAATGTAAAACAGGGTTTCTTTATGGCTGTTGCCAGCTGTGAAAAAAACCAATTGGGTCACAAGTGAAACAATTGGTCGGTTGGGTTACATGAAAAACACAAGCTTTTTATTTTTGGTCATGCTTGAAATGGTCTGTCTTGGCCTCCACATGACTACAGCTCAGTCTCGTATAATATTGACTTTCTTTCTGTTTGACTGACCGATTAACTTGAAGAGATTGTCTTGAAAAAGAAGGGTTTAGTAATGCTGATTGAATCTGTTAATTGAGGCAATGGAAAGTAATTAGATACACTCATTTAGCATCTAGATTTCGAGATTGTCTTTAAAGGAAAAGCTTGGTCAGGCTACAGATCCACATCGGAGGACTGACAACCACAGGAAATTCTGATACATAAATAAATGGATCAATAACTCTGACTTGTGATTTGAGCAAGCTACATCTTCCCTGGAGGTGTGGTGAAATTGGGTTTAACCTCGCGTCCAATTATTGCACTTATATAGCAACTTGCATGTATGTGTGTGTGTTTGTGTGGCGATTTATAGTGCTAGCTCACTGAGATACCATGCCGCAGTTTAACATGAATACCCCACTCACACAGTATACTGACTCCGAGCCGACCAGTCCTTGTTTTTAGCCCCTTAATGCCGAGCACCGACAGGGTAACAACAAGTACCATCTTTTAACGTCTTTTGGTATGACGCGGCTGGGGCCCGAACGCTGGACCTTCCGCTCTCCGGGCGGATGCTCTACCACTGGACCACGGAGGTGGGCCATCTTCCCTGGAACCAAGCAGTGGTGAAACAAAGTGGCCAAGGCAGAAGGGAACACCGCCGATACCTCAGATTACAATACTTTAACCATCTTGTTAGCACCTTCACATAACATACTGATATGACATATTCAATTGCTATCTAGGTGAATGTGGCAGGCAGCTCTGGATAAAAGCCTGGATAATTCCAGGGATATATTAGTTGCAAACTGATTCCCACTTCATTAGGGATACCATTGACATTGAGAACAATTAATTATGCATGTAAATACGGAAAGAGATTCACTTTGACCAGCAAATAAACAATTTAATGACGACAATGAATTAGGCTGATCCATTTAATGTCTTAAACTGAATTTTCTGCCTTCATTGTCCATTGCAACCAAGAGAATCTTAATACAAATAGCCGTTTCTGTGGCATTGAATTATTAATTTAGTCTTGATATCAATAAATTTGTATCGACACATCAGACATTAACCATTTAACTATTTATCAATACCCAGTACATTAAAAATATTGTGATATGCAATGACATCACCATGATCACTACATCATGCAAAGTGGGTGTAAAATCTTCTTAAATTCATATGCTTGGTAACAATGTATTAAAAAAATCATTATATAGGCCTCTCATTCTTCATCATGATGTATTGTCCTCTAATCAGTGGACTGCAAGTCGCCCCTGTAAAACCATATTATTAATTATCACTACAAAAGCAGGAATTGTCAGGGCGTTTTAACTCCAATTTCGGAATTTTTACTGATACTTGTTGCAGATTTTGGGACAAATATCGGCCTCGGAGCAAGTCTAGATAAATCCTGAGATTTCTGGTCTAAAAAAGGTGCCAAGGCAGTGCTGGTCACAAGGTACAATGAGAGTGGCCTGTACGTGTAATGTGCACTCTGTACTGAAATGTTTTGCCATGTTTACCGTCTTATGAAAATATGAATCCCAATGTGTTCAGGCTTTAAGATCGCTTCACACTCTTGGACATTGGCTGATTGTCACACAGCATGTCCTGAAGATATCTCCAAATGGAGTATATTTATTTAGAATACATTGTCTTATCTGTCACATGTGTTGCCAAACATATCAAGTTGTTTCAGATTTCTATGTGCCCAAAAGACTCTCTTGGCATTTTTGGCAGATTTCGGCATACAGAGGTTTACTTAGGGGCCAATATTCGGCCCAAAGTCTGAAGCGAAAAGTCAGTAAAAACTCCCAAATTGGAATTAAAAAGTATCCCAATTCATGTTAAAATTATAACTAATCACATATATGCTAATGTGATGGCTGGGTAGAGGTAACTGTATAGCACTAATAGTGAGTGGGCTGGGTAGAGGTAACTGTATAGCACTGTGAGTGAGTGAGTGAGTGAGTGAGTGAGTGAGTGAGTGAGTGAGTGAGTGAGTGAGTGAGTGAGTGAGTGAGTGAGTGAGTGAGTGAGTGAGTGAGTGAGTGAGTGAGGTTTTTTTACGCCGCTTTTAGCAATATCACAGCGGGGGACACCAGATATGGGCTTCACACATTGTACCCGGGTTTTTGGCATGACGAGCTAACACTTTAACCACTAGGCTACCCGACTGCCCCGTATAGCACTAATAACAGGACCAATAAAGAGACTAATGCGTAGTTTTACATTGTTGCAATATTGGAAAATAAGAACATTTCAGAAATATCCATTTTGAAAAAAATAATGATTGTTTCCACCATTCGCCTGCAAATGGTTAATATTTTAGATAAATCCCTGGCATAATATCTGGACTGAGGTGGGTGAGGTGGCAGACTACAATGTGATTTATTAACCATGTGAACACGGCAAGCACGAGAAACATCAACCTTGAATTCTATGATGCTAGACTTATTAGAGTCACTGTTTCCTGGCATCTGGCATAAATACAATATATGCTGCACAAGTAGCTGGTGGTTTGGAATATATGTAACCTTAGGAGTCCGGTACAATACACTTCTACCCTGGTCACATTTTGGTTTCTATCAACCACTCCTTGTTTTTCGGGAATGATGTAGCTCAAAAGTACAAGTCAGCTTGACAGCTCTAGTCCATTTATTTATGATGGAAGTTTTCATAAATATATACACAGGGTCCTCAGATGGTTTCATGTAGCCTGACTTATTTATATACAATACATACATACCTAATGGATGCATCAAGGGCCTGACAGTAATACTTTTTCTGATACTGACTTCCAATATACCGAAAGAACCTCTCTGTTCAGCCTTGAGTTTCCGAATGCCCTCGCCACTCCCGGACAATTAACAAAATACTATCGATGATAACTTTAGCTCCTCCTACCGAAATAATGTTTGACGTCATGCGAAATGAGTCATAAGGCTCATATCCATAATTTCCATTCAAATCAGCTTGTACTATCAAACTCTACTGACTAAACCAACTCAGTTAATTACCTAAGTTCATTGCTCAATCGAACATTTTCATAATTCAAGCAACCCTAAGATGAAACCAAATACCCTGTCAGACTGGAAGGTATTGAAGGATCCCCAATCAGACCTTTCCAATTCAAGCAGTAGTTTAGATCATTAAAAGACAAGAAACACTGTCACAGACATTAATTCTTTGAAACTTCATTTTTTCCTGCATAGTTTAGCCATTTAGACATACTAAAAAAACTGTTGATCAGCTCAATGCTAATGTTGCACAGTACAATAAGCACCATCAGTATTGCACTGAAAGTTTTATAACTAGGGCATCTCAGAACATGTGTTGATCACAAATACCATGTTTGCAGTAACCACGCATTCATCAACTTCAGAACCAATCTGTTTATGTTCATACAATGTTTATTAACAATAACACTTACATAAAATAATGCCGACGCTACTTTAAATTTTAACTCACATGAAGATTTACATGACAGTCCTTTTTTTCTTGTGTATATAGCAGATTTGTTTATGGAAAACAGCAATATATATGGGGTACATCACTGCATGGCAACTATTAGTATTATCAAAAATCTGTTTAGCTCCATCAGCATTTAAACTGAGTCTGTTCTCTACTGTCTGATCTCTGACAACAATTTAACCTGCACATGGTTATAATCTGCCCCTTGCTTTGTCCACGGCATTTATTATGGCTAATATTGTATTTGTATATTGCTTTAAACATCATTGCCAACTATGAAATGGAAATACAAAGGGTAAATTACAAGATGACCATGTACTATTGAGTATACGATGACCAACAAGATCTTATTCATAATTATTCTATTGCTTGCCTTAAAAGGGGACTATGCTTGTCGTAAAAGGCGACTAACGGGATCGGGTGGTCAGGCTCACTGACTCGGTTGATGCATGTCATCGATCCCAACTGCATGGATCGATGCTCATGATATTAATCACTGGATTGTCTGGTCCAGACTCGATTATTTACAGACCGCCGTCATATAGCTTGAATATTGCTGAGTGCGGCGTTAAACAACAAACCAACCAACCAACCAAATCATAATTATTCTCTCAGGAAATGGAAATATCAGAATGCTTCAGAAGGAAGTTCACATGACTTCTGGGGTTATGCTGATTGAATCTAGAAATTACTGGAATGGGGAAAATGTTATGTGTTGAAATAAGATAATAGGACTTAGCTTATCCCTCGTATTCATGCAGTCAATTTTACCATCGATAGCGCTCGTTCGCTTGTTGATTGATGACATTGTCTTGCACAGCTTGTCTTTCATTAAGAAATTATCACAGCTTGTGTCCTTCATTCATGTTTTAGTGATGTAATCTCACTGTTCTGTCGTTCAATAATGGAGGTGAACTTCTGCACTTCTACTGCATACGTTTTGACTTCGTTATTTTTCTCATCCCAGGCTGTTATTAGCTGTCTCATACCTCTCTTGAAAATCTTGTAGTTTACCATTACCACACTTCATCCAGAGCTCCAGATAAGCTGCGTATCTGCGTGAAATACGCATCAGAAATGCAGAAATACGCAGTAAAATATAATCCAAGCGTATCAAATACGCAACAAACATTACAGATACGCTACAAAAATAAAACTTGTGCGTATCATCAAAATATTGTGAAGTAACCCTGCGTATTCGATTAGCAAATCAGCAACTTATTGTGAAATTATATACGGGCATTCCGTCAACCTTGCCAAACTCCAGGATGACAGTTACATCATGATCATTTGCCATCACACTTTCTTGTGGAAGTATCGTGGTATTTTTGAGTCCTATAAAGCTCTCGAACCCACACGACACCAGTTTGCAGGGACTAGATGAATAGTGTTTTTAAATATTTAACTTAAATACCCACATGTGTAAAAACTAGTGGGTAACAGAAATTTGAATACACAGATAGAATAACTGATACCCAATGATTTTAAAATCCACAACACCAAAAGCTTATCTGGAGCTCTGTTCATCTGTTCTTTCAGATCATCATGAAACATGATAAGTTTGCTCACTTCTGGGGTTATGCTGTTTGACTCTAGAAATTACTGGAATGGGAATAAGTTAGTGTTGAAATAAGATAATAGGACTCTAAAATTCCACATTGAACATTTTGGTGGGAGTAGCTAAAATTACCGACAGTATTTTGTTAGTTGTCCGGCTTCTGTACAAATATTTTTGAAGTTGAGAGTAACCAATCATAGTTGTGGTCTGGTAATTGACAAGTCAGGTTTCAAATTCGGATGGATGGAGGGACAGAGGGGGGGGGGGGGGGGGGGGGGAAGAGAGAGAGAGAGAGAGAGAGAGAGAGAGAGAGAGAGGTGTCCTCGGATGTGGATCTGTGAACGGACTTTTTCTATACACAATGCACAACAAGATGATGTGTTGAAGAGTACTTCAAATAATCTAGGTGACTTTTGGTAACCCCCTTGGACCCTCCCTCAGACTCAACCACTCTTTGACAACTAGCTATAAATCATTGATTGATGTCATGGGAAATTACTTTGCTTTCCCTCTATTTCTAGATTCAATCAATACTACCAAACTCTTACTATCACAAGACAAATTCCTTAATGGTCAATTGCAAACAACAAGAAACCCAATATCATATCAATCAAACACAGATGTCATCGAGCCAACACTTCCACTGACCGACATTTCTGGTGTCCCCCGCCGTGATATTGCTGGAATATTACTAAAAGTGGCGTAAAACCAAACTCACTCACTCACTCACTCACTCCACTGACCGATATCCACACCTGTCAATACTGACATTTTCCTTTCCTGTGCTCAAATAATCATGATTAAGAATGCGATCTGCTCACCTACTCAAAGTATAGATATATCCTTTGTATATTTCGATCACATCCGAGTCAAATTAAAAACTTCACATTTTTAAAAGTAATCCCATATATGATATACAACGGACAAATGTATCAGAGAAGATAATTTTTAATCATTAATGTCCAAAGAAGGATTTTAATTAATGGTGGTAACCATAATTTGTTCCAAGCACCTACGGTATTCGGTAATAACATCAACAGTTTAAATCATAAGTCCCAAGCACGAGAATCTGATGGCACACAAGTTCAGTAGCATGTATGGCCACCATGTGCGTTGACAACTGCCACACAACGCCTCCGCATGGACCTTGTGATGCTTGTGAACACATGATAGGGAAGATGACGCCATTGTTGCTGCAAAATGGTGCCAAGATCTTGCAAATTCTGTGGTTGGTTCTGGAGAGTGCGCAGACTTCTGCCAAGAGCATCCCAGACGTGTTCGATGGGATTGAGGTCGGGAGACCTTAACGGCCAGTCAATGACGTTGACTCCCGCATTCTGAAGGAAATTCCTTGTCAAAATTGCTGTGTGGGGTCTGGCATTGTGTTGGAAGATCAAACCGTGTCCATGTGCTGCCATAAAAGGCAGAAGTTCTGGTGCCAGTACCTGGTCGCGGTAAGCAGCAGCGTTGAGGTTGCCACGGATGACAAGAAGCCTGGAACGTGCATTGCCACAGATGACAAGAAGCCTGGAACGTGCATTGCCACGGATGACAAGAAGCCTGGAACGTGCATTGCCACGGATGACAAGAAGCCTGGAACGTGCATTGCCACGGATGACAAGAAGCCTGGAACATGCATTGCCACAGAAAGCACCCCATACCATGACACTTCCGCCTCGAAATCTGTCAACTTCCTGTACATAACACTGGGCGTAACGTTCATGACGGCGCCTCCACACCCTCGCCCTACCATCAGCAAATCGAAGATTAAATCGGGATGCATCACTTAAGACAACTTGATTCCAATTCCTCTCAGTCCATCGTAAGTGTCGCTGTGCCCTGTGCCCTGTGTAATTGAGTCAGAATCGGCCCGCAGTATGGCCGTCGTGCTTGAACATGTTGAAGGTGAGCAGTTCTCAGATGGTTTCGAACAGTTTGCACACTCATTCTACCCCTAAACAGTTCATTTTGCGTAGATGTTGCCGTCAAAAATCGGTTACGGAGGTGACGTAAGACAATCTGACGATCCTCTGCATATGACGTCACACGTGGTCGACCTGGCCGAGGGCGATCAGCGGTGGTACCTGTTTGCTGTAGATGTGTCTGTCAATCATAAACAGTCCGTCGACTACAACCCATCGTCCTTGCGACTTCAGCTACGGACATTCCCGTCTGCAACATGCTGATGGCACGTTCACGTTGCACATTTGAAAGGTGTGGCATGATAAATGGCCGTAAAGACTTTTGTTTTCTTGTGTTTTCCTTTTTTTGTTAATGACTGCTAACAAGTATGGCTGAAAACACATGTGGTATTATGGCCATGTGACCAGTTGCACATGAAAAACCACTTTTGCCACTATATTCACCTGCACAAAAACGGGTGTTATCTGAAGACAATACGTGGCCATTACTGTTTTAATACACAATAAGGGCCCACAATGATAACTGGTCAAAATGTTAAAATTTTAGGATTGTGAAGTTTTTAATTTGGTTCAGTATATAATATATACTGAATCGTAAAAGAAACATCACCATGGATAGATATATGAAAAACCTTTTTTGTTCAAACACTGTAAACATACTTTGAGACATATTAAAAAGATGAAACTTGGCAAAACTGTTCATCAAGGTTGAAATTAAAGTGTCAAATGTTCTTAAAGTGAAACACAACACTAGTCTCTGAGAAAATGGCATCACAAGTCAGTATCTCGTGTGTCCGCCATGTGCATTGATGACTGCCGTGCAACGTCGATACATGGAATGGATGAGGAGGTTGATGAAGGCCATGGGCACTTGAGCCCACACTCAGGTTAGTGTTCCCGTTTACCGGTAATTACCAGTAAAATTAGGCTTGGATCGGTAATTCAAGTGACTGCCAGTCCCTGTGGACTGGCAAATAAAGTACTTATAGATCTTTGTTGTTGAACAAAAAAACAAACAAATCGGTGATATTCATATATTCAGATATAAGTACATTTTTTAACAAAGTCAGCTTGTCTATTACCATCAGGGTTACCCCTTGTCTATTTCTAGGTTAAATATCCAGTTGTAGCGAATTTGTCTGAAAATATTAAAAAAGAAAGAGAAAATTGTGACTGAGTTTGTGTGAATGACATATAGATCTAACTAAGGTACTTCAGAGACGACATCTTTGCACTGAACATGAAGTTGAAAGAATTAAAACCAAATAATTTTCATATTTTTTTTTAGTCGTTGAAAGTTGGGACTGGCAAAAATTAGAGGGGACTGGTAATTATTAGAGTTGCCAGTCCACAAGGACTGGCAGTTTCAAATGCCAACGGGAACACTGGACTCTGAGGAACGCCTGACGCAGTTCAGCTGCACTTGTCGGCCTTTGTCGGACGTCATTCAGCTGTCTTTCAATCTCGTCCCACAGGTGCTCAATGAGATTTAAATCAGGACTGAGGGCGGGCCACTGCATGGTTCTGATGCCATTCTGCTGGAGGAAGTCTCTTGTTGCTCTCGCAGTGAGGGTACGGGCGTTATCATGCTGAAACTTGTCGTTGCGGCGACGTGCCAAATGAGGTATGGCGTGTGGTGTCAAAACTTGATCAATGTACCGAGCCGCTGTGACACCACTGCCTTTCCCTGGACCGATGTTCTGGAAGACCACAGGGCCGACCCTCAGTGCAAGACCAATTCCACCCCACACCATAATGCCCCACGAGTCTCTCTCAACAACACAAGCATCCGAATAATGTTCCTCACGGCGTCACCAGACATCTGCCATCCGCTGTTGAGATACAGTAACGACTCTCTTGTAGCGCCAATGCTGGTGCTGTGTTGCCCACTGAAGAAAGGTCCAGGCGATGACGTGGTGTCAGAATTGGTCCTCCGTGTGGCCTGTGACAGTGGAGGTGTCAATTGTTGACGCACGGTGTCCGCACTAATGTGTCGCTGGTTCCGCAGCAGTAACAAAGTGATCTTGAAGATGCTGTCGCACAATCTGATGATCCTGGCGTTATGTGGTGACCCTTGGTCTTCCACTACGTGGTCGTTCATCTGTAGTGTTGGTGGTCTGGTACCGTTGCTGGAACCTGTATATGGTCCTTACATGGACTTGAAATGCATTGGCTACTTGCCGGGCGGTTTGTCCAGCTTGCATTGTCCAAGGGCTTGGTGTCTCTGATTTCTTGTCAATCTTGGCATGTGGTAGCAATTCAATAACGAATGAATGTTATCCGATCTGGGTGGATTTTTATAGGGCAAGAAATCGGGGAACGCATGTGCATTTCAATTTGCACGGAACTCACATGCATCTGGTTACCATGGCCGTTGCTGTGATGCATTTGGGCTATCGGTTTTATTGCCATCTGCTTTGGGTTTTTATCATCAAATTTCATTTTTCTGGACAAGATAATGTTAAATTTTAGAAACTTTGACAAAAATTACCCAGATGTTTAAATGACAACTTTTCATGCAATGTGACTTGGGGTGACGTTTCTTTTGCGGTTCAGT